GCTTTCTTAATCATGCTCTGCGGAGCTGTGTAGCACTGACCCATTTATAACACCCTATTTTTACTATTTTTTTACTGTTTTCAGCATATCTGCGCGCCACACTCATCACATATGTCACGGTTTGTATAACTTGGCTACAATCCAAACATTTGCCAGTCCTCTCTTAGAGAGCCTGATTTCATAATCACATGTCATGTTTTTTAATTACACGAAGGTTCAAGTGATGTGGTTTGGTTTGAGTAAGTAGAGGGTGCAATGAGGGCTGCGTAGGAATAAAGGGGTGAAAAGGGAGAAGAACAGAAAGTGAGAAAGAAACATCCAAGTGGGAGCAAATAATGAGGACTGAGGCGTTTCATATAAAACTATTTGTGCATCGTCTGTTTATTCCTTGATCATAAATAGTTATTTGTATCTGTGGAGAAAATGACTTAGCAGACTTTAAGATTGGGTTGTTTTTTTCTCAGAAGTGTGTGTGTGTGTGTGTGTGTGTGTGTGTGTGTGTGTGTGTGTGTGTGTGTGTGTGTGTGTGTGTGTGTGTGTGTGTGTGTGAGAGAGCGATGCTGGAAACATTATACTAATGATGTTTCAGAAGAGACAAACTGTATTATGCAAAATCCACTCTCATTGTTCTTGAACATAATTAAGTGTCCCCACTGTGTCTAGAGGCCCAGAAGTCATGAGAAAGTTTCTTTGCTTTCTCCATAGATCAGAATATGTGTCTGAGCCATTCAGATTTTGAGCGGCTTTTAACATTAAAAGGGGATAACCACAGCTCCTGACTGCCAAAGAGAGCTCTTAAATCATAAATAAACAGATGCAGTTCGCCATTGTTATTTTCTTGCTGGAGTAGTGTTCTGTTAACTTTGTTGAACATACAGCCTGCAGGTCTGAACTAACCCATCAAAGAGTAGAGTCTGGCCCTCTGGATGGATTTGCAGAGTGTAAAAATTGGAGAAGGAAGGTGTAATTTTGGACTTTCAACTGTAATTTGCACCAGAAAGCATGTTCCAAGATGTTAAGAATGGATAGCATAGAAAACATCATGTTGCCAATCATCTGTCTGAATCATAATCAGTTTTATAGCCTTAAATTACCTGTAATACCACAAGATAAAAAACTTAGCGCAAACCATCATGGAAGGACAGGCCCATGCACGGTATGTACCACCAACAGATAGAGGAAGTGGCTGACATCCAGAAGTCCCACCAGTGGCTGGACAAAGCTGGACTGAAAGACAGTACAGAGGCACTAATCATGCCAGCACAGGAACAAGCTCTGAGCACAAGATCCATAGAAGCTGGCAAGACCCCAGGTGCAGGCTGTGTAAAGATGCCCCTGAGACAATCCAGCACATAACAACAGGGTGCAAGATGCTAGCAGGCAGGGCATACATGGATCGCCATAACCAAGTGTTCAGCATAGTATACAGAAACATCTCCCGAGGTCAAAATGGGAGACACCCCCTAGGGTGGTTGAGAATAATTGAGCTAAGATCCTGTGGGACTTCAAGATACAGACGGACTAAATGGGGATGGCTAACCAACCGGACATAGCGGTGTTAGGCAAACAGAAGAAGACGGCCATAGTGATAGATGTAGCCATACTGAATGACAGCAACATTATGAAGAAGGAACACAAGAAGCTCGTGAAGTACCAAGGGCTCGCAGAAGAGCTTGAGAAGATGTGGAGGGTGAAGGTAACAGTGGTCCCAGTGGGAAGCGGAGCACTAGGACTCCCAGAGATCTCTGTTCAGAAGAGCGCAATCCTAGGAACAGCTGAGATACTGCACAGGATCCTCAAGCTAGAGGATAGAGAGAAATTCAACCTTCATATTTTTAATATTTTCAGAGTTCCTCATGGTATACAGGGCTGAAACAAAATTCTGTACTTCCTATTTTATTCTTACTTTCAATTTCATACATTAAATTTGTGCTTGATAATTGCTTCTAATTGCTGATAATGGACGCTCTGCGGTCCTAGTTTTATTGGATTTATCCTCGGCCTTCGATATGGTAGATCACAACATCTTATTAGCGAGGCTTGAGCATACTGTAGGCATTAAAGGTGTTGCCCTTGATTGGTTTAAATCATACCTCTCCAATAGGTTCTTCTCTGTCAACCTGGGCACTTGCTCTTCCTCCGCTGCACCTGTCTGCTGTGGTGTGCCTCAAGGATCTGTGTTAGGCCCTATTCTTTTCTCACTGTATATGCTCCCTCTAAGTGCAATCTTTGAGAAATACCGCACCGCTTTCCACTGCTATGCTGACGATATACAGATCTACTTTGAACTAAATGATGATCTTGCTTTGTCCTTCCATTGTTTCCAAGAGTGCATCCGCGAGGTCAAAGAATGGCTCCTAGCAAACTCTCTTATCCTAAATGATAAGAAAACTGAAATCGTGGTATTTGGCAGCAACGTTCCTCGTGGCCAACTTCGTGATGCCTTTGGTTCCCTTACCAGCTCCCTTTCTGACACTGTTAGCAATCTGGGCGTGTTGCTTGACAGCTCGTTCAAACTCGATAAACAAGTGTCAGCTGTAGTCAGATCTAGTTTCTACCAACTCCGTCTCATCTCTAAGGCTAAGCAGTATGTTCTGCATAAGGACCTGGAAAAGCTCATCCACGCCTTTGTGACCTCAAGGCTGGATTACTGCAACTCACTTTGTTTTGTTCTTCCTTCTGCCCTCCTTCATAGACTGCAGACAGTCCAAAATGCTGCAGCACGTATTCTGACCAGAACTGGGAAGTTTGCCTGTATCACTCCTGTTCTAGCTGACCTGCATTGGCTACTCATAAAATACCGCATCCAATTTAAAATACTGCTGCTTACGTTTAAAATGAGCAACAACACAGCACCGAGCCACCTTAAGGAACTCCTTAAATCGTATGTTCCTGCCAGAGCATTAAGATCATCTACTCAGTTACTCTTCTAAGTCTAGAGGTGACCGGGCGTTTGCCCTGGCTGCACCAGAGTTGTGGAATAACCTTCCGATTGTGATCCGGACGTCCGATTCTATCCAATCTTTTAAATCACGGTTAAAAACCTATTTGTTTAATCTCGCCTGTCCTGCTTGTTAATGCTCGCACCTGACTCTTAGACTTACTCTATTTTTTCTTATACATATTTTTTATACCTTGTGCTTTTATTATGTTTTTATTTTGATATGCATTTTATATTACCCCTGTGTATTAGTGGCATTGACCTGTGAGTATATTTGATACTTTGCTAAGGCCTTATAATACTCGTGTTACTTCTCTGTCTCTTATGTTAAGCACTTTGGTATACCGCTGGTTTTTAAATGTGCTCTATAAATAAAGATTGTTGTTGTTGTTGTTGATGATATTCAAAACTAGGATATATCCCATGATATTGATGGAAGTTGGATATAGAAAAAAATCTTGTTTACCAAAAACAAGATTTTGACTTATACATGTTATACTGGCATTTGAAATGTAACTTCTTGTAAACGTGTACAGTGTTATACATACCCTTTAACTCATTCGAGACAGTTGTATCAGTTATGCAATGCTGCCTGCAAAACTGCTCTTATACCTGATCCCCTGCTACAGCTTTTATATAATATCTAAGGAAAAACGTTGTTGCTTTGTTCCATTAGTCCTCGTGAGGCCTTTGCTCCCCATGGAGTCAATGTTAGCGTGAAGCGGCCTTTAAAAAAACAGAGGTACTTAGTCCTTGCACAGGCAGTCAGGTGAAAGAGAGGATAGTGTGTTACATGTGCGTTTTTTAGAACTAAAAGTATTTAGAATAAAATATTGAGGAACCACAAAATAAGTGTCCCTGAATCAGTGCCTCAAGTACACATTTTTTTGTGTTTTTGTGTTATTGTATTTGTAGATCAATATGCGGGGGCACTCATTCCGATCTCTCCCCTGTATCTAATCAAACAGCAATGCCATTCAACATAGAGATGTTTGGAAAGAGCCTTGGAGATGTGGTTTTGTAGTTACTGCAGTCTGATGATTGACTTTGATGAGGATGCCACTGGGAATACATCACTGTGTTCCTCCGCAGTGTTGTTGAAGTGTTTATAGCACAGAGTGTTTGCAACATGACAGTCACTCTAACTTGATGATACTACGGCTTCCATCATCAGAGATATATCAGTACCAGTGGTCCTCCTAGACCTTTGATGTCCCACAAAAAGCTGTTAGCATTCATTCTTTCCATAGTAGAGTGGGCAGGATTGTTGAAACCCTAATGTCTGCACAGAGTTATTGGTTCCACTAGTTCGTAGTGGTTCCACTCTTCTGTGCTTGTTGATTGTTGTGCAATCACGCTTAAAGAGCTTGTTTGACTTATTTTATTTGTTTTAATTAAAGAACTTGAAAGGGGCTTGTAATTCCCAGCTCATTCAACAGTTCCATATCTTTATTCTTAGACTCGACTAGAGTAGATTTCCATGATTCATTTAGAAATAATCTTTATATATCTTATACTGTGCCTTGGTGCATCCTCTTACTTCATCCTCTGTCTTAAATAAGTTGTTTCAACACCCTTCAGCTGCCTTTTAGACCAGAATTCTTTTGATTGGCTGCTCGTCATAAACAAGAAGATTAGAACAGCGGGTGGAGCTTATGTACCTGACGCGACCATATTAGGGATATGTGCTGTAAATGACATCATATTGATCCAGTAGGAGAAAACCACAGATTTTTGAGCCTGACCTCATTATTTGAGACTCCGGCCAAATTTAATATGAACATCTATTGTAACAGAACATACAGTACAATAATTTATTTAAATAAAGCAAGAGAGAGATTATAATACATCACATGCTCTATTTGTATGATAAACTTTGACATGAATGTGTTACATTTTAGTCTCTTACTAACAGGAAAACCTCAAATGTTTTGGATAAGAGTCAGCCAGTACAGAAAAGGGAATGGGGTCAGTGCTTCATCCAAGAGCTACACTGACCTCAGAGTTCATCTGGCTGAAAAACCAAAGCAGGGTTTAATCAAGACATAAGAAGTCTGGGTGTCTAGCCAGTATGAATTCAACTCACATTCACTGGATGCTCTAAGAGGTCCAAATTGTGTTTAGTCAGTCTGTTGAACACCCTAGTGGAAGCGTGACAGGTTGATTGCTGCTCTGACACCTTTGATGGGGTCTAACCCACAGTAGTAAATGCAGAGTTGCTCAGACGTGACACACAGAGAGATACTGCTGCTGTACCTTTTCAGTTATTAGTCGATTTCTTTTGTCATTTCTCCATTTTCAGTTACAAAAAGCAGTGTTTGGCTAGACACCGGCCCCGCTTCACAAACATTTTTGGAAGCCGTGTTGATACTCTTGAATCTGGGCGCATCATTCAACACCAGACAATTTGGTTTAGCTCTGTTTGTGTGTGTGTGTGTGTGTGTGTGTGTGTGTGTGTGTGTGTGTGTGTGTGTGTGTGTGTGTGT